CACTCTCAAGCCTTACCCAGAGCACAGTTTGCTGTCCTCTGAAGATGCCGGCCACAGAGACTGGCGAAACGTTAGGAAGAACCACCTTCGGAGCACGGCCAAGAAGCCCGAAAAACCCACAACAACCATTATAATGAAACAGGTAATCTCTTAGGTTGCCTATATTCTGAAATAATTTCAAAGACTACTTTTTCCATCATGTCTTAATTCTGATGACCTTCCCCTTTAACCAGCATTCAATAAAAGAAGTGAGTGCAGCAGAGGCAGATTGTGACTCGGGGAGTACATAACACTCTGCTTCTTTATTTTGTCATGCACACAGTATAGGGACAAGGCCTTCCAGAACATGGGGACTTCAGTGGGGGAATGGCTCAGCAGTAGAAAGCATCTCTTGATTTTCTGATGCAGGCAACAGATGAGCTTGATGTTCTAATCTGTGCTTTGGGCAGTTAATTGTAATTATAAATGATTTAAATACATGTTGGTGAATTCAATAGTTGATTTGAATAAGTGAATGAAATTTGTCCAATTTATTTATTTCATTTCACTTAATTTGTTTGCAATGCATTTAAAAATGAATTAAAAATAAAATATTGTATATAATTAACATTATTTATAATCACCATTAAAAATGCCACATCTTATAAAAATTAAATATATAACAGTATTTAAAAACCCCAGCATTAAAATATTTTTTAATCTCTAAATTCATTAATTTGGTTTTTCTTAAAAATCACTGAACACTCAAAAACTTGCCTGAAAAGAAAGGTATTTTCCTGACAAAGGAAAAACAATTTAGTTTCTCCAAGCAGTGCATTCCAAAGATGGAGAGCAACCAGAGAGAACGGCTCTACTATTAATTAATACTAATCATTTCTGAGTGAGCAGTGGTGGGTATTTATGCCTTAAGACTCAGTAAAGTTATTTTAATTAAATAAAAATATTAAAGAAAAAGTGGGTACAGTTTTCATAGTAATATTTATTGAACTGCGGAAAAATATCAGGTTATACTGAGCACTGTGATTAATTGGTTTAATTTAATTCCCAGCTTTCTCCTTGTATGGAGACCCAGAATAACACATGATCATTCTGCTGTGATAAGTAATAAACTATCATTTTATCTGAAACATAGCAAATACATCTAATACGACATACCTGTATATATTAGCTTAAATCAGCATATGTCATTTTAAAGCAACAAATGCCACCCCTTTTCATGGTAAATGTCCATGCTTTTGTTGACGTTTGGTCTCCATTTGGGAGACACTTGTCCCTCTTTTGGCGATGCAGCCACCGCCACTCTCAAGTGTGTACATGTGCCTGTGTGTTCTGTGTCCTCAACTTAGACCAAACCCTAATACTGTAAGTCTTTCGACGTAAGCAGAGTTATTTAAGGCGTGGTTTTAGTACTTCTGCTCCCACAGGGAATTTCCATGGCGGAACAGGAATTCGAACCCAGGCCTCCCGAGCGTCTTAATCTGTCACTCTATCCACCACACACACCACACGGGGAATCCTAAAAGGACTGGGGCATCATGTGGGGAGAGAGGACACCAGGACATGGAGGGATCTGGCAGGAAGAAGAAAAAGGTGGATTTTTTCTTCTTTGGAGACCCTTGCCTCCCGGAGACCTTTCCTTCCTGCCCTTTTCCACTCCAGCTCAGCCCTAGAAAAAGGCTGACAGGCAACCCGCTCGGAGAGGAGACGGACAACTGAGGTTCACACCCCGCCTCCACTCCGGTGGGAGCCTTTTCTTCCCTCACCTGCAGGCTGCCACACGCGGCGGTTCTCCTGCCGCCTCCCTCAGCTCTCAAAACAAGCCTCAGGGTGGCGGCCGTGACGTCAGAAACCCTCATAAGACCCCTGAATGACGTCACTGTAGCCCTGTGGCAGGCCACTTTGTGGCCCTGGGGAACCACCAAGACATCCTCCCCACAGCCTGCAGCCAGCCGGTCTACGCGGCACCACTAGGGGGAAATCGCGCCTCCCCCCCCCCCGCTCCTTTCCTGGATCACATCCAACTCCATTGAGAGGCAGCGGTTTAGAACGGTGTCCCCTTCCACTGAGCCACCTTATCAAACAACCACCCCTGACCATCTTATCCCAGCTACTATGCTCGTCTGCCTCTACATACGGCGCCCACCCCCCTGGGACGCAGGGAATTCCTGCTGGGAGAGGAAAAAATATGAGCGCGGCCGGCGGACCAATCGCGTGCCTCCTCTCTGTGACTTTGCATGGCCTCCACCTCTGGACCAACCATCACCCTTCCGTAGTGCAGCTTCGTAAAGTGATTATGCGAGAGTCCTGTCAATCAACGGAGAAGGCCGCTTCCCTTCGTTGATAGGCTGAAGTGGTGGCCAATCTAGCAGAGAGGGTCTCCGATTCCGAGAGTCCGAAGAGTAGAGCGGTCGCGGCTACGGGTTTTTTTGCTCGAGTAGCTCCAGGTACCCGGATATTAAAACTGGGGGGATAGGGAGGACGAGGTGTATAGTATCTCTAACGGCTCTGCGGGCAGTTTGGAATCTGAGGAAGGGGCGTGGTCTGTAGCGCGGGGTAGTGCACTGACAGGCGGGTCGCGAGCCCGGTGCCAGCCTGTTCCTTCCTTGCTGGATGGGGAAAAGCCATGAGGGAGCCCTGAGGGCTCTTGACCTGCCTCGCCTGTTCTCCGAATAACGAGAACGGCTCGGGAAGGAGATATTGAGGGCAAAACAGCTGTTTTCAGAACGGGCGAGGCGGGAAGGGGAGACGGTTCTGAGGGACTTGACCTGATGGAAATGGAGCGGCACTAATCCTGTCCAAGGTCCGCCAGGCAAAGGGCGGTGCGGTTGGGCAGCCGTAGAGTGCAGCTCTGAAAATGTGTAAGGAGCCCCTTAAGCTCTTGGGGGGAGTCATCAAGTGATGCTCCTTATCGCGAGGTTATTGACGCAGGCGAACTAGGGAGTCTTAATTTAAACATACATTCATTATTTCCACCCACGGAGAAAGAGACTGGCTGTATCATCGTGAATTAGCTGAAATGTTTGTGCTGGAGACAGGCCACCAGTGACTCAGCGTTTACTTCCTTGTACCTAACGTTTGAGAACTTCGCTTTTTAATTCCATAAAAATCCCTTTCTACCCTTCCATTTGCTTGGTTTAGTCAAAGCTGTGTAATCAGTGTGGCAGGTTTAGTGTTTCTAAAGGGCAGTTAAGAACAAGTGGATATTTCTCTAAAGATGCAAAGTATTTTTCCTCATGTCTGACTGAAAAAAGTTCTTCTAGACAAGCTGGGACTCACATGGAACACGCATTATAAGGGGATGTGCGGGTTTCGCCCAACATGCTTTATGAATGAGTTGAGCCTGCAGTCCAAAATGTGTGTACTCAACCAAGGGAGTGGATTTTTCTGTTTTTCAAAAGTGGCTTAAGTAGAAAAAGCAACATATGTGGGTTAGAAGTTGTTTTAACATGTTTTAAATGGCAAAAAACTTTTTAAATGCAGCTGTCATATCTAATAAGTTCACATGTCCTTTTTGTCATGACTATATAAAGTTTTGTCTATGAGCAAACATCTATGGGATCTCTTCAAAGAGTGTGCTTCTATTTCATGCTTGGAATTCATGTTCTGGCATGAATTGTCAAGATCCTTAGCCTTAGGGATTAATTATTCTGTTTCTTGGCACATGAGCTTAGATTTCACATTTGTAACTCAGTACTGTACTCAGCCATGTATTGAACTACTTTAAGAAGAATTAGCAGTTGGCAGATTAGTTTGATACAGCTCCTTGCATTTTTCTTTCTAGCGTGACTATAAACCTATATTGCATTTTCATTGATATTGCATTCTGGGAGCGCACCCTTACAATGTCAGATACAATTTATGCAGACATAGGCAGTTGTAATAGAAGAACACTGCGATAAATTGATGATGACAATGTGGAATTGGTGTTGAGCTTTGTCTACGCTACGCAAACAAAATGAAGCTGCATTTTAAGTACATCCTCAGGGTGAGTGAAGAAAGATGATAATTTTAAGTTTAAAAAAACTTAAATCCTAGTCTATTTCTTTATTTCTTCTGGTTGCAATAGGAGAAACTATATTCCATCACAAAACAAACATAGATAAATAAGATTTGGAAGTTTAGCCCTATCTTTGAAGAGCTAGTAGATGAGGCAGTCTGGTTATGCTATTACTGTACAATCTGCCTGCTTTATAATTCTGCTGTCTGGTTATGAAAATCTGAGACATTGCCCTTTGATATTTTCTGCCTTTTTTGGAAGGAGTCAGCTCTTCTATAACACCAAATGTTCCCTATGTCTTCTAGTACATTCAACTGAGTGGGTGGCATATAAATTGAATAAATAAATAATAAATACTGTAAATATATTTAGCCCAAAATCTTCCCTCCACACACAGTTTTAATATGTGTGTGGTAGTAATAGCTGATGTCATGTAATTTATAAAATATATGATTTGAGAGCTGTGAATTTTCCATTTCACATTTTGTATTGATCACAACCTCAGTATTTGCCCTTAGAGAAACTCCTGTTCCCTCAGTCTAGCTTGAAACAATGCCATGATGAAGTACAGAGTTAGGGACTCCAGTGTGGGATATCCAACTTCATATTTCCATTTGTTTTTCAATGTTAACTTGATAACCTTGCCTGATTTGTAGTACAAGTCTGTGTATTTTTACTTGGAAATAAACTTCAGTCTGGTTAGCAGTACTTACATCCAGTTAAATATACATAATACTTTGCCTTGGTGTTTCTTGGGCTAACCTATCCCATGGAGCCTTTGTGGGGATAAAATAACACATGAAGTCATTGAGGCATACAGTAGACATGAAATAAATAATTGTTGATTTCTAGTAGAAGATGAAGACAGTAGATGTAATACTTGACTCAAACCCATCTTTTCTATTATTTACCAAAACAGTTCACCAGAATTAGTTTTGTGCAGGAAATAAACATGGTAAGATCTAGAGTGTTGCACAAATGGAGCCTGCCCAGGTTTTAAGATTGTCAGGGGATACCTTTCTCTCGCTTCCACCATCTTCACAGGTACATTTGGTGGGGACACAGGAAAGGGCCTTCTCTCATTGCTCCCAGGCTCCAAAACTCCCTCCCACTGGAGGCCAGACTGGCCCAATCTTTGCTGTTCTTTCTCAAGCAGATTATCTTTCTGTTCAGGCAGGATTTTCCTTAGTGGCTGGCTGGCTGGCTGAGATAGGTTTTTAAATGGATTGTTGTGCCTTGCTGCTGTGAATGTGGTTTTCATGCTGATTTTGTTTACTGTTTTAGTGTGTTATTATTTTTAAATATTTGTATACTTTTTAAAGCTTTTAAATGTTTTCTTTTACCAATGTGAGTCAGCTTGGGTCCTTTTTAAGGAGAAAGGTGTGGTAAAAATATTCTAAATAATACGTTAAGACCAGATGTTTTTAAAAAGTAGATTTTGTTTTCTTTTGTTCCTGTTTGTCTTTCAGAATGGTTTTGCTTGAGTCTCTAGTCCCTGGTGCACTTAATCCACCAAGTAAAATATGGAAGACTACTCAAAGTCAAGACATTTTTAATGTCTGATACACATTTATCAATCACATACCTGTGGCTCCAAAGTGATGTAACCATTGCAGTTGAACTATGCATATTTCCTCCAGTGCATGGCTTTAGAAGTTTTCCTTCAACAGTGCTTTTGTGTTAGATTTTGAACTGTTTTAATGTGTCTCGCAACATACTGGCTGAAATCTTGTTTCTTAGCATAGTAAATCACAACTAGAGTAGGACGATTGAATCAGTGAAACTTATAGAGTAGTTAACTCATCAAATCTGCTGACCTACTTTGGTTCAACTAACTATGCTACACAAGATTTCAATTGCTGCCTCATAGTGCAGTGTTTTCTAACCCGATCCCCTCAAAATATGATTCTCTGCAACATCCATTACTCAGGTGGCTACAGTAGAGAGATGTCAGGTAACATATCTGGATGGGTTAAAATTGGGCAGGGCCATAAAAGTATATTAGAATTTGACCTTTTTAACGTATTTTATTGTATTTGTTTCTGTTATAGGGCTATGCCCTAAAAAGCAACCTAAGTACTGTACTCTAAAATATTTTAAATACATAGTAATTATTTTTATCCATTATTTTCAGCTTTATTGTGATTACCCTGTGTTTGCAATGACTACCCTTTGGAAGGATATTTTGCATAATGTCCAGCAGATTCACTATGTGGCTCCAATTGCAGTGGATGCAGCGTTACTTGAAGGAGTACTAATGAGGACCAAAGATGACCCCAATACATCCGACGTAAGCTCAAAATTATATTTCGTGGCACAGGCTTCTCTGTCATTATACCATTTTGAACACCTGTCTCATCTTTCTTTAGACATTGGGCAGGGTTGAGCCTTGTTAGTATTTAAATGGGAGAACACCAGACAGTATCTGGGAACTCAAGAAAATAACCTGTGTGAAACTCTGGAGAGCTGCTGCCAATCAGAGTTAGCACTCATCAGCTAGATGGACCAGGGGTCTAATTTGCTATGAGGCAGCTTCCTCTATGTTCCCATCTTTTCAGCAGCAAGATATACAGTGGTGTCTCGCAAGACGAAAGTAATTCGTTCCGCAAGTAGTGCCATCTTGCGAAATTTTCGTCTTGCAAAAAGCGGTTTCCCATAGGAATGCATTGCAGTGCATTCCTATGGGAAACCTCGCAAGACGAATGAATTATTTTCATCTTGCGAGGCATCGCTCTTGCGGAAAAAAAATCATCTTGCGAAGCACGGCCATAGAAGAAGCCATCTTGCGAGTCACCAACACAATCGCAAAACGCTTTCGTCTTGCGGGTTTTTCATCCAGCAAGGTGTTCGTCTTGTGAGGCACCACTGTATTTAGTAAGGTATAGCCTTATAGTCCTTGGAAAGAAGATTGATCAGGACTGAGAAAACCTCTGTGACAAAGATAAATTGGGCTGTTGTGATGACAGGGGGAAGTTAGAACTTGGGGAAGAGAGTTTCCAGCAAGATAACACAATACGTTTCTGGCCTTACTTGACTAGGCTTCTCGCTGGCATCCTGACATGCTACCATGGCAATATGATATTTACTTAGCTCCATTACAATATATCCTGCGCCTCCATAAATGGAACCAAGTTTTAAAACAAAATCAACATTTAAACATCAACATAAGAAATAATATTATTGCCTTTCTTGGCAAAAGCCTGTCTAAACAAAACAATTTTTGCATGCTAATGAAAGTCTACCAATAAAAGGACAATTTTTATCCCACTTTCACTAGTAAAACTGACCCATTCTGTTCTTTCAGTGTAGAATCAGTCAGTAAGTATGAGCATGGCTTTATGGCAAATGTGGGAAGAACTATACAGAAAATTTGAGTGAACTGGGAAGACATATATGGAGATAACTGCTGTTTGATTACACTAACCATTCTCTCCTTGTTTATGCAGTTATATGGATAAATCTAGTGGTGTCAAGCAACAAAATAGTCTAACATTTTTTCTTTTGCCTTTTATTGTCTTGTGCTAAATTTTTCATTTATTTTGAAAATATTTGTAAGATCCATTTGCTTTGCCTGCAAACTGACCATTTCACTAATACAGTGGTGCCTCACTTAGCGATTGCCTCGTTTAACGATGTAATCGCTTAACGATGAAGTTTTTGGAGCGATCTTGCGCTCTGTTTAACGATGTTTCCTACGGGCGAATTTCGCATAGCGATGTTTGGGACCTTGCTTCGCTTAGCGATGACAGTTTAGGTCCCCCTGTTTCATTTAATGATGTCCGTTTTTGCTATTTTAAAAGTGTCTTAAAAGGTTCAAAAACTGTTTTAGATGCTTGCAATCGATAGTGCACCTTGTAAAGCCTTTGCAGAATTAATTTGGCTTTGTTCTGAGTCTTCGTTAATTTTTGGTGAATTTTTCCCCCCATTGGAATGCATTGAATAGGTTTGACAGCGGTAGGTCTGACAGCTGTCAAACCTACAGTTCAATGCGAAATTAATTCTGCAAAGCGAAATTAATTCTGCAAAGGTTTTACAAAGTGCACTAACGATTGCAAGCATTTTAAGAGGTTTCAAACATTTTAAGACACTTTAAA